CAAAAAATCGGGAAGTGCGCGGAGGAATCCCAAAAAATCGGGAAGTGCGCGGAGGAAGCCCAAAAATTCGGGAAGTGTGCGGAGGAAGCCCAAAAAATTGGGAAGTGCGTGGAGGAATCCCAAAAAATCGGGAAGTGCTCAGCAGAATCCCAAAAAATTGGGAAATGTGTGGAAGAATCCCCAAAAATTGGGAAATGCGCGGAGGAATCCCAAAAAATCGGGAATTGCGCCGTCGATCCGGCAGCATCCGTCAAAACCCGACGGATCCACGAGGAATCATCCCAAAAAACGGGGAAATCCTCGGTCGAATCCCAGAAAATCTGCGGCGAGTGCGGGAAATCCTTCCTGGATCCGTCGGCGTTGGCCAAGCACCGGCGGATCCACGATCCCGGCCGGAATTCCGGGATGGGATCCCAGATCCGGCGGCAGCTGCGGAGTCACGGAAGTGAGGAGGAAATGCCGGAGGGGTGAAAGAAAATCCGGGAATTTTTATTTTCCAACATTCCCGGAATTCCCGGACGTAGTTTTTTTGGGGTAGGGTAGAGTAGGAAAGTAGGGTAGATACGGAATAAAAAAAAAAAAACCCCGGAATTTCCGTTTTTTCCGGGAAAAATCGAGTTTTCCCGGGGGGGGAAAAAAAAGATAATCCTCGGGATGGAGTCGGAGAAAATCCCGGAATTTTGGGTGGTTTGGATGATCCTGGGTTTTCCGTCGTGGGATTTTTTTTTCGTTGTTGTTGTTGTTTTTGGCCCCGATCCAGAGGTTTTTGAGGTTGGAAAAGCCGGAATTCCGGGCGGTTCTGTAATTTATTGTATTTATTCAGCCGGGAAAAATTCCCGAAATGGGGAATTTGGGAAAGAAAGGAGGATTTGATCCCAAAAATCCTCTGGGATGGATTTTTTTTTTTTATTTTTATTTTTTTTTTCCCGGATGGAAAAGGATGGGGTGGGAACCAGGCGGGAATTCTGGGGCTTTTCCCGGTGTTTTTGGGGCTTTTTTGGGGGGGCGTTTTTGGAATTCTCTTCTTCGTTTGTAATGTGAATTAAAAATAGATTTAGTGAGGAATTCCCGGAATTTTTCCTTGGATCGGTTCCTGAAATCGGGGGGTGGGGGGAGGGAGGGGAAGCTGGGAATTCTGGGAATAATCCCTCAGAAAATCGGGAATGCTTTGGGGGAATTTTTGGGGGGGGTAAATCCTTGGGAATTTTTGGGGAATTTTTTGCACATCTTGGGAATTTTGGGTGCAAATCTTTGGGAATTCTTCGGGCATCTCTTGGGAATTTTTGGGGGGTGAATCCTTGGAAATTTTTGGGCATTTGGGGAATTTTTTGGGGGGAAATCCTTGGGAATTCTTTGAGCATTTGAGGAATTTTTGGGGGAAAATCCTTGGAAATTTTTGGGGGCATTTGAGGAATTTTGGGTGGGAAATCCTTGGGAATTTTTGGGCATCTCTTGGGAATTCTTTGGGGGAGGGAATCCTTGGGAATTCTTTGAACATTTGAGGAATTTTGGGGGTGAATCCTCGGGAATTTTTCGGGAATCTCTTGGGAATTTCGGGGGGAAATACTTGGGAATTCTTTGAGCATCTCCCGGGAATTCCTGGGGGCGAATCCTTGGGGATGCTCTTGGAGGAGGAGGGAGGGGGAAGAAGGGGGAGGAAGAAGAGGAAGAGGAGGAAGAGGAGGAAAAAAGGGGGAAGAGGAGGAGGAAGGAGAGAGGAGGAGGAGGAGGAGGAGGAAGGGGGGAGAGGGAGGAGGAGGGATGGGAGGGAGGAGGAGGAGGAGGAAGAGGAGGAGGAAGAGGGGGAGAGGGAGGAGGGAGAAGGAAGAGGAGGA